CTTAAAAATAGGTATGAGCAATTTCTAAAACAGGAATTATGCACTGAATACGTTGCTTAAATTTGTCATCTTTTTGAGTAATTAAGATTTAAATGTATCTTTTTCCACCTATTTGCACAAAACTAAAGGTCAGTTGAGATTACTCATTTTTGTGTTTTCTTTGTGTGTGTGTGTGTGCATGCTTGTGTGTTTGCTGAGGAAGCTAATAGAATATTAAAATTTCCTTTATATTGGCTATTTACATTTTAAAATGCTTCAGCTATTAACATATTTCAAATGAAATGACTCTTGGATAAAAACAATTGTACCCTACAATGTTATTGTCAATTTGAATTCCAGTAATGCAATAGATGTGGCTGCTTGGCACTTATGTATAATCTTCTGACATTAAAAGATTTGTGTAAATAAAAGGAGATGGAATGCGTGAAAGAAATATACTTAAATTGAGTGATATATTCTGTGAGGCATTAGATGCTCAAAAATAAGGTGGAAGAAAGGTTAGGCGTGGCTGTACTATTATTTGGTTGCTTTATGATTTGCCTCTTTAATTGACAATAACCTTTCGTAATTAATTCAATTTATAATATGCAGTTGGGCTAATGCTCTAAGCTCATATCACTAGGCATTATGTTTTGTACTGAAATCTATATGTAGATTTGTCAGAATTGACATACCAAAAAAAAAAAAAGATTGAAATATTCATAAACCATGACGGAACATGACCTTGACTTTATTGTATAAAATCTTTTTATATTTGAGATTCGTTTTTGTCGGTCATAGGATATCATGATTTCTTGATGGTGGACATTAAGCAATACAATGTTACATGCTAATGATTGCTAAGAGATGGAATTTCTTTAAATTCTTCACTTCATTATTACCATTTAAGCGTTAATTTTGAGATTGAAGAGATATTTTGCTAGTTATAGATGATTGTTAGACCATATGAATTCTGTTTTAGTTACGTTGATTTTTAGAAATATTGATTTTAATTAAATGGTTTTCTATTAATTTTTCTAATTTAAACATTCTAATTTTTTTTAATCAAAAGGTCCAACTTCTAAAGGATTTGGTTGTATAAATGTTTCCGCATTATATAGAAATAGACAAATCATTCACTTTAACCTTTATATTAGGTTTAATATATGATGAGGTTAGCAAATGGTAAGAGGAGGACTTGTCTAAGAAAGGTGAGGCTCAGAATCAAAATTATGTTATTTATTTATTTATACAAAACTTTGTAATGAATGCCAGATTTCTCCTGTACATCCATGAAAATGATGAACATAAATTGATAATCAGCATGCCAGACTGTTCATTCTAAAAAAAATTATCCGTTCTAACTGCTAAATCACAGTCCTCTTCATTGTCATTGCCCAATTTTAAGTAACGCTACCCATTTCTTTCTAATAATACCTATCTTCACAATTTCTTTTCATCATTACCCATTTCATAGAAGACACATCTCTTTTCAATATTACCCATTTTTATGCTCAATCTTATTGGCCAATTCTAAAAGATTACCCGTTCTCATTGCCCAATCACAAGTAAGGCTATTAATTTCTTTTTATTGTTACCCATTCTATTTTGACAACAATTGTCAAATCTAACTATTGGGTAAAAAGATTGTCTGTTTTCATTGCCTAATCATAATCTAAAAGACTATTCATTCTCTTTGTCCAATTATACATTTAACAGAAGACTAAGTGAGATTATCGAATCATTTATTCATTCTCTTTGCCCAATTCTACAAAAAATTGTTCATTCTCATAGCCCAATTCTAAGTTAGGCTACCCATTTCTTTTCAGTATTCATCATTACTCATTTCAATTCTAAGTAAGATTACCAATTGTTCATTTCTTTTCATCATTACCCATTCTAACAACAATTGTCAAATATAACCATTCATAAAAAAGATTGTCCAATTCAAAATTTACAAACAAAAAGATTGTCCAATTCAAAATTTACAAACAAGTATGTTTAGTGTTAACTTGAACACACTATAATAAATGTATAAGTTACATGTCATGTGTTAATTTAAACAAGCCAAGTGTTGGATGCATAAGTCACTTATGTATAAAAGAAATATTTTTAAAGCTTCTTATTTATTTCATTTTAAATCTAACAAAAATTCAAGATGTTTTACCCGAGTTAAAAATACATTTTAATATTTGTTTTAAATTTAGTTTATATAAATATAATTATTTTTAATATAATGTTTTTTTTTTAGAATTTTTTTTCAGAACTTAGATCTTCAATTAAAAAAATTAAATTGTATAAATATAATTATTTTTAATATAATTTGGAAATTTTGTTCAGAATTTAGATATTCAATGTTACATATAAATTAAAAATATAATATATTTCTACGTTTACTTGTAACGGTGAAAATACAGGTTTTTGGCTGATAAACTTTGATTTTATCTTATGAGAAAAGTTATTGTCGTTAATGTTTATCATTTTACCTTAAATTTCATTTATGTATTTCACTTATTGCAAAATTGATTAACATCAGTATTGTCATCGATACATGTTTAGGATCTTATTTCTATTTCTATTATTTTGTTTTTTGTTTTTCAACTCCTTTCAATTTTTGTTTAAACCCATAAAAATAAAAGCGAAAGCTGACTATGGACATCCTCTAAACCCGAGGATCATCCAACGACTTTCTTGTCTGTGTGAAATCAGATAGCATAATACAAATTACCAACTTGTTTTAAGGTTAGAAAATTAATTCGAGCATTTTTTTAATCAAAATGTGTAATTTAAATTTTTTTTTTACATATCATAATTATAGTTAATAATTAAAAATTAATTTTAAGTCAAATAAACACTTAGTAGATATCTGAAGTAATCTTTTTCCTTTGGCATAAAAATAGCAACGAGAGAGACAAAACACTTTTTTATAAGGATTAATTTTTTTTAAAATTGTTAATCCTTCATTTATCTTTCATAAGAAGAATGCTTATAACACTTTTTTAACACAGTTCTATTTCAATTATTCATAAATCATTTTCCTTTGTATTGGATAAATTAACGCGGTTAGCAAAACCCATCGTCTCCCAAGGAAAATTAAGACAAAAAACAGAATCCTCAATCGATTAATTCTCAAAAACAGAGACAATATGAATAAACGGAAGCTTCCACACTGGAATAGAACATACATAACAACAACATCAAAATCAAAAACTAAAATGAACATCAAAAGCAGTTCTCGCCTCTAAAACTGCTTTCTTCTTTTCACGGACCACAAGAAGCTCAGCCTCAACACCCTCCATCCGACGCATAAAGAAATCGACCCTCGAACGCAGCGTTTCAAGGCTCAAACGCAGCGTTTCATCATCCTCAGTCAAACGACGTTCAGAATCCATCCACTTGTGTAGCGACTGATACGAAAAGTCAAGATTGGAAGAAGAAACAAAGCACTTTTCAAGTGTATTCAACCAATGACCACAAAAAGAGAAGTGGCGAAGATCATGCAACAACTCCAAAATCGCAACACGCTTAATGTCCAAGATTTCCAACATAGAGTGATCCTTGAGAAGTCGCAAAAGTTCAGCTAGACGACTATAGGCAAAACCCTTAGTCCTATAAGAAAGAGCGTTGTCACGTAAATAACCATCGGCGTTGGAAGAAAGAAAGTCGCAAAGCAAAGCAGCAGCTTCTTTAGATAAGAACTTCAAAGAAACTAAGTGTAGGAGTTGGTCGTATTCGTCAAGTTTGCGCTTGAGGGAGGTTTTGTTGTAGCACTCCGCTGAACGTTGTGATTCCTCAGCCATTGGTAAAGAGAAGCTGAAGAACAAGATAGACAAAACACATTGCGTTGCTCTTTATATTCTTCTTACTTGTGGGTAGATGTTTCGTTTCGTTGCTGCCACCTTTGCATGCGTTTGCGCTTCCCAATTTCAACCCACTGTCCCACTTACATAAATGATAAATTGGGTGTGTGATAAAGTTTAATATAAAAAAGTATTAATTTAATCTTGTATGTACTATGATTTATTTAAAAATATAGTGTTATAAGATCTTACTAATTCGAGCTCTTAAAGTACTAATTAAAGAGACTTTTTAAAAAAATTCTATGGTCTACAACTCCTTTTCTCACTTGTCATTTAGGTTTATTTTTCTTACAATTTTATACAAAGAAATTCATATAAAGATAATTTGTTAGACTTTAATTTTGATTTCTTAAATTTTTAACTTTTTTCTCTAATTTAATTTTTGGTAACTGAAATAAAAAAAATTAACACGCATTTCAAAAAATTACACATTTTACAATATATTAATTAATCATGTCATAATTAAAGAAAAATATTACTTCCGTTCTTTTTATAAGAAATAAAATATTAAATTATTAAAATAAAAAAGTAATTAATTTTATTATTTTTTATAAATATAAATTTTATTCTAAAAATACTTATAATATTAAACTGTGTAATTAATAATTTATATATTTAATAATATTAATAAAAAATATAAAAAAATTTAACAATTAATATATCTTAAATCTATCATTTATTTTTTATAATAAAGACTAAAAAATATTTTATTTTATTTTTTATAAAAAGAATCGAAAAGAATAAATTTTTAAAAAGAGACTAAAATAAATAACAATAAGAGATTAAAAACAAATTTTTATAAAAATATATAAACTTAAAAATATTAAATCCTGTAGAATATATAAATTAAGCAAAAGTGTTACAATTAATTTATTTTATCTTAGATGAATAATAAAGGTCATTCTAATACTGTGATAAAAAAATTATAATATTTAACAAACTTTATTAATATATAATTTTTTTTAGTGCAAATTGCTTTCCTGGTATTTATCCTTTGGTTTTCCTTTTCTTACTTTTTATTTATTTTTTATAAATTAAACGATATATAAGGAAGGGTTGTTACAGAATGGTCCACCCATGATCCTAAAATGGCGCGCATGGAGACAGAACCAAGTGAGAAAGAACAAGAGAATTGACATAGCCATTCATTCATTAAACAAACACAAAACAAAACGTACTACAACGAGTTGTGTTGAAAGTTGAAACCCAAAGCAAAAGCAAAGAAGGTGTGTGTATCTCTCGGGCATGGCTCTTGTGACTCGAAATGCAGCCACGTGGCGCCTCCCTCAAAGAGTATTTTCCGTTTCTGTCCACAATGGTTCCTCCGGCACCGGCGCTCCCACTCAGTATGCTGCGTCACCATCTCCGGCGACTTCCTCTCCCGTCGGCGTCTCGAAGCCGGCGGAGTACGTTATTGCGAAGGTAGATAGCCTCTTGAACTGGGCCCGGCGCGGATCCATATGGCCCATGACGTTTGGGCTGGCTTGCTGCGCTGTCGAGATGATGCACACCGGTGGGGCCCGCTACGATTTGGACCGCTTTGGCATCATCTTCAGGCCTAGCCCACGCCAATCCGATTGCATGATCGTTGCCGGTACCCTCACCAATAAGATGGCTCCTGCTCTTCGCAAGTTCGTTTCATTCTTTTATTAAAAATGTTACCACCATGTATTTTAATATATTCTTTTCAAAATCTTTCACACTATAAAAAAGTTCATATACTCATTTATATACTATACTTATTATTGAATAAAATTTATTAAAATTAAATAGTTCAGGTAATTTCTAATAAACTTTAATTGAGAATGAAATGTATGTTTAAAATTAGAGTTCTTTACGTACTTTTAATGTTATTTTTTAATTAAAATTATAATTTTATCATGCTAAATTATAATAACATTAAATACAAGATTTTTCGTTAAGCAAGACTCTAATTTTAATTAAAAAATAACACATAAAAATACTTAAGAAACTTTACTTAAATTTATCGTGAGACCTGTTTGATGCTGAAAAAGAAAAATGAATTGGTGCAGAGTTTATGATCAAATGCCTGAGCCAAGGTGGGTGATTTCTATGGGAAGTTGTGCTAATGGAGGTGGATACTACCATTATTCCTACTCTGTTGTTAGAGGATGTGACAGAATTGTTCCTGTTGACATATATATTCCGGGTTGTCCTCCAACTGCAGAGGCTTTGCTATATGGCCTCCTCCAACTCCAGAAGAAGATCAATAGGCGCAAGGACTTCCTCTGGTGGTGGACCAAGTGACCCTCACCAACTTCAATTTACTCAATTTATTTTGTTTCCTATACATATATATATATATATATCTGTTATAATCTTAAACAATTCGTGTTACTTGATTTCTTATTTGTCAGAAGCTTCTGAATGTCTAATGTATGTATGTTTATAAACTTTGGAATAAGTGAGATTCCTCATGTTTCACTCATTAGTTAATTGATTTTATTTTGAGCCATTTTCTTTCTTTTGACTTCTGTTTGGTGTAAGGAAAATTTTCTAAATTAAAGATCATGTTAAAGAAAGTTACATTTTGACAAAAGTTTGAGGGTCAAAGAAAAAGTCAAAAAATAGACCTGAACATAAGAGAATAGTGGAAGATTATTCAAGACCTTTAGTTTTTATTAAAAGGGACACATTTCGAGCTATTTTAAGGAGATTTTTGTCACAGTTTTGATTTTTCTCTAAACTGCTTGAAAGACAAGAAAATATTCTAAGTCCACAGAATTAAGGACTTTTTCGAGGAGTTGTGAGGAGTTTCTAAGTCACTGACACCCAAAACTGCTCGAAAAATAGGACTGACAAGAAAATATTATAAGTCCACAAAACTAATGGCTTTTCGAGAAGTTTTTGAGGAGTTTCCAAGTCCCTAACACCCAAAACTACTCGAAAAACAGGAAATGGTCAGAAAATATTCTTAGTCCACAAAACTGATGACCTTTTCGAGGAGTTTTTGAGGAGTTTCCAAGTCCCTGACTCCCAAAATTGCTCAAAAAATAAGAAGTAGTCAGGAAATATTCTAGTCCACAAACTTGGTTGAGCTCCAGATTCCCTCCAGAATTGCTCAAAAAATAGGAATGAGCAAAGAAAATATTTTAAGTCCACGAAATCAAGACAAGCTCTCAAAACCCCAGAATTAGTCGAAAAGAGAAGGTAAGGAGAAATTATTCTAAAGCCATAAACTAAATGAGCCTCATAAGACCCTACCAGAACAACTCGAAAGATGAAAATTTGTTTAAAAGCAGTTATTAGCAGTTACCAAAATTGGGGAAAGGTTCAGCTATGCAAAGAAAAGATTATGGGTGATAATGGTTATCAGCAGTTATCGACAGCACGATCACAAGCAATCGTGGATAATGGACATAACAGTTAAAGGCAGTTACTAAGAAGTGCCCGCAAAATAAGGAAAATGGTGGTGATCTTCCTGTCTATAAATACTCCAAAGCGCCATTTTACAAGGGACGACTTTTTGCACCTAGACACCGCACCTAAAACTCTATGCACGCTGAAATCCTGCACCGCGCCAGACACCAGCTACAAGGAGACTCACGGTGGCCGCTGTCTGCTGTTGTGAGGAGTCGTACGTTTACATTCATGCACCTTTACATTCCTGCATATTTACCTTTCTGCATTTTAATTCCAGCTTGTTGCTTATTTCGTTTCTGCAATTTGTTTCCTATTTCACACTTTTCTGTAAAGAATCTCTACGTTTAATTCAATTCTGCACGTTTACTATTCCCTATTATTGCTTAATACTCTTTTTACGCCGTTAATTTGAGCGTCACGTTAACAACACACTTAAAAGAACCCAAAGAGGACCTAATCCAGTCCCCAGATTGTTCTTTGATTATTTGTTTACAAAACTGTCATTTTTCATCGTAAACAACTTCAAAAATTTTTCTTCTCCTTTCGATGTTTGATTATATTTGCAATCCTGATTGAAAATACAAAAGGGGTGGGAGTAATTGGTTATGGTAATTGTGAAAGAAACACTTACTGTAGGCCAACTTTATGGTAATTTATCTCTTAGTTACTCAAGTTTTTACAAGTATAGAGCTATTTGCTTGTTTTTAACATTTTTCTTGTTGCAATTTAAGAGTTTGTTGTCCTGCTATGTTTTGGAAAAGGATCATATACAAATGATTAATCAGCCCATAAGGGTGTTGATAAAATGGTTTCTCTACTCCATTAATTCTCTATCTCACTAATGATTGATAAATTAGTTTGGGAGAAGTCCCTAACTTAAAAGAGTTATTTGCCATGAAGCTGGAGTTTTTGCTTCAAATATTTTTATTACCCTTTTACAGTAGCAAAAATTTCTTTTATTTCGTCTTCGTGTTGTCATGCAATCAAACGTACCCATAGTAATTAATCTTTTACCACTGTCGATGATCAAACAAGGGTTAATCAAAATGGTGTTATTTGAAGCTTCTTAAATTAAGGATTCTTCGGTCGCTCTTTTTTTTTATTATTTTTTTCTGTGTTATTTGTCATATCTAGCTTTATTTAAATACACTTTAAACCAGTGTCACATAGAAGTGATAAAAATTAATAAAATGTCACAATTTTAATGAAACCATCAAAATTCAATATTCTTATACCTTACTTGCTCACAAATGCTTCATTATTTTTTTGGCACCATTACATAGTGACAGCTTTCTTATGTTTCTTGTCTCTTTTGAATCAAACAAAAGAAAAAAAATATATTAATTTGCTCTTAGGAAAAAAGATTCCAATATAGAAAAATATTAAAATCAACCTTAAAAACTAATTTTAATTGATTAGAAGTAATTTTAAAAAAAATATTAATTTTTATATAATAATTTTTTCTAATAAAATATATAATTTTTAGATATTTAAGAGTTTGTTTGTTTAAAAGTTGAGAAATTAATTCTCACCTATTTGAATGAAACAATATGTTTTTAAATTAAAATATATGGTTTAGATTAGTTGATGTATGTGTCTCAATTACAATTAATAGTTCAAAATCAATCTCATTAAAATTAAATGTACTTAATTTGAGATTAAGAAATATTAAAATTAGTCTAAAAATTGATATTAACATAATTATTTAATAAATTAAAACAAAAAGTACAAATATAAATAGACTAAACTAAATGCCTTTCATTCTTAAAAGAATAATATTGAGACAACTTTGACTCGTTAATTGAAAAAAAATAATATTCTTATATTGAAACTAAATGCCTTTCATTTTTTAATCTTTTAAAAATAATGTTTTATCTTAAAAAAAAACCATTTTCAAGCTTATAACTGTCAAATTTATCAAACCAAATTAGATATTAAAGAAAATAATCAAAATAAACAAAACAATAGGCTAAAAGATTTAAATAATATTAATTTTAAAACTAATTACCAAAATAAAATAAAATAAAAAGTTATTCCCTGTTTGGGACAAATTTTTGCCACGTAAGCACCTGTTTCGATTAAAACCAAATGAAATCAATTTTTGATTTTTTTATTTAATAGTTTCACCCTAAATTTGGACGAAATGCATAAAATTTAAATTTCCCTTTCTCGCTCCGTGACACATGGGCCAATCACTTAGTTTCGTCGCTGAGTCAGACGAAAAGGTGATTTTGTCTGACTCAGAGACAAAATTACGTGATTGGCCCACGTGTCGGTGGAGTGACGGTCCCTGCGCCTCCCTCTTCCCATCTCCCCTCCGCTATTTCAGTTACAGACTTCATCCATTTTTTTCATTCAGCGAGCTGGGTGGGTGTTTTTTTATCATTTGAGCGTGATTCGTGAGTGAGATTAGTAATTCATTGCAGAATCGTGTCCGGATCTGCTTTGTTTGCAGCAATTGAAAGTGTTTTTGGAGTGAAAGGTTGAGGAGGTTGAGACTGCACAGTTTACCGTGAACTGAGAAGAAAGTTAGACGGAAGCTGCCGAAGAAACGCCGCCGTTGTCGGGATAACTTGCTGGTGTCACTAGAGCCCTCTGTTGCCGGAAATCGCCACCTTCGACGCCGAAAATCACCACATTGCAGCCGGAAATCTAACAGGTTTTTCTATTTTTAATATAATTTATTTTTACATTTTTTTTATTTTTATAAATAAAAATACTGATAATGTAATAAAAAAATTTATTGTGACCAAAATTTTTATAGTAAAAATAATATTAAAAATAAAAATTTTATAACTAAATTTATTAAATTTTTAGCTTGAAAAAAAAATTTAAAGAAATATTTAGATTAAATATTTAATTGAAATAATTTTGTTAATTTTATAAAAATTAAATAATAACCATAATTTTTGTAAAATTAAATATTTCTAGTAATATTTAGTATAAAAATTAAACTTGCATGTTGAATTTAGGCAATAATTTGATGTATAAATTTAAAAACAACTAAAAATTAAATACAATAATAAATAGTTGAATAAAATTTAGAATAAGAAAATAGAAAATAATTGTAAATGATAATTAGAAAATAGTGTATAAAACTTATAAAATAAATTCTGATTTTGATTTATATTACTATAAAATTATAGTAGACAATAATTTATATTAAAATTATAGTAGTAAATATTTGACTATATAAATGATTGCAACCGAAAAATATAATTAATATTGGTTAATAATGATGAAATAATAAATTTAGTTATGTAATTTAAATTATTGGATTGATATTAAATAGTTTTGAAAAAAAAATTATTTATATAATTTAATTTATGATGAAACAATAAAATAAGTTACTAATAATATAAGATTAAATTATTATTACAGTGTTACTTATAAAATGAGATTAAATTATTTTAAATAAATAATCTAATTTTTAATGAAATAATAAAATTAGTTATCCAAAATAAATATTTAGAGGGCTATAAAATAGTTGAGATAAATTATTTATAATTATCTAAATAAATTTAGGAAGAAAAAAATTTGAATGTTGAATATAAATTTTCAGAGTGATTCTAATTAGTTGAGGTTAACTAATGATAATTATATAATTTAATAAACGATGACTAATAAAAAATAAAAAATAAAAAACTTGTTAATTACTGTTGTTATTGTATGATGAATTTTAATGATTAAAGTTTTTAATTAATATAGTAATTTATTTTGATGTACTAAGTTAAAAAAATTGTTAAATATTGGGAAAAGTATTCATAAAATATTTATTCATATTTCTGGACAAATTACCAATTTATTTAGTCAAATTTTAAAAATTGGTTATGAACCATTGTATTTGATTTTATTTGTACTCCACTAAAAATGGGTGAAAATTA